CCCTCATACTCACTGTGAAGAAATCAAGCTCTTCAGCCATAGATTCTACAGATATGTTATGAACAATCGGGTACCATGAGAAACCTCATGATGTAATTCATAGAATCAAAGAGCTGGAAGTCCAGCCCCCCACCCAAGGCAGAACCAATGCCAACTAAATCAACCCATCCAGGGCTTTGTCAAGCTGAGATTTAAAAACTTCTAGGGATGGAGAGTCCACCACCTCCCTAGGTAACCCATCCCAGTGCTTCACCACCCTCCTAGTGAAATAGTTTTTCCTAATATCCAACCTAGACCTCCCCCACTGTAACTTGAGACAATTGTTCCTTGTTTTGCCATCCATCACTACTGAGAACAGCCTCTCTCCATCCTCTTTGGAACCTCCCTTCAGGAAGCTGAAGGCTGCTATCAAATCCCCCCTCACTCTTCTCTTCTGCAGGCTAAATAAACCCAAATCCCTCATTCTCTCCTCATAGGTCATGCGCTCCAGCCCCCGAACCATTTTGGTCGCCCTCCGTTGGACCCTCTCCAATGTGTCCACATCCTTTCTATACTGGGGGCCCCAGAACTGGATACAATTCACATGGAAGTTTCATGTTGCCTGTATTCCTGACGGTACACTTAATGAGATGCAACATAGTTTTATAATAGCACTATTCATCCCGTGATCCATATGTCTGACTAATGTACCAAATGTTGCTTTGATTTTGTTGTTGCATCTCCCAAACACGTAAAATAAGTACTGTATTTGTAATTCTAAAACAAATCCACACATATACTCATTAAATCCTCAATGTAAGTGATGCACTACTTCTGTACACAAACGATCTTCTACACAGGCAAAGTGCAGGATAAACAAAAGGTTAATAAAAAAGAATTTTTCACCATCTGTGTCTGATTCTCTGATAACTTTTTGCACTTTGCCTCTTCTGAAAGTGTTTTTAGGGCGATTTTTTCCTCTTTGGAAGATAGTACATTTTGAACACCCAGAAACATGATATTACTTCACAAAATAAAACAGACATAGCTGAGTTCCAAATAATACATTTTATTTTAATATGACACAAATAGCAAGAGCCATCAACACAGGCTATGTATGTCTCAGCTGCCACAAATGTGAATCACAAAACCATCTCCATGCCCTACCAAATATCTGATCCTGCGAGATAGTAGTTTGAATTGGGAGCTTGTGTAAGTGTTTTGTTTCTAAGGCCTAGTTTAAGCTAACCCCTGCCACTGATCTAATCCACATGACTTCAGCTATGCAAACAGCATAGCTAAAGTAGATGTACTTACCACTGCATCTTGTGTGAGATAAGGTCTTCGGGGGCTGCTCTCCCATCAACACTGACTACTCCTCTCATCCTCGTGGAACTGGCTACTCCTCTCATCCTCGCCAGTGTCAACGAGAGAGAGTTCTAGATTGATTTATCGCATCTAATCAGACACAATAAATCAATCGCTGCAGGGTTGATCCTCAGTGTAGTGGAGACGAGGCCTAAGTCTCAGATGAGACAATGCTGCAAATTTTACTAGCTGGGGATACACTGGATAGTGTGCAAATAGGATAGTGTAGTCAGCTTTTTGAAAGGTGTGGTAACACATGAAAGGCAGAAATACAGAGGTAGTCATATCTTCGATCAGATGTGACCTTTTAGGCAACCTTTCCCTTGCCTTTGTACAGATGTTCACAATGCTGGGAGAATTACTAACATAACTCACAATGTTTCTGATCACAGAAATCAAATTCAGTATTGTGTTTTTCTGGAGCCCTTCTGAACTAGGGATGTGAATGGTTAACCGGTTTCCTGGTTACAGTTAACTGACACGGGCAGGGAGTGCTCCCGCCTGGCCACAGCAGTTCCTGTCCACAGTGAGCCCAGTCCAGCACAGTGGGGAGTGGGGAGCTCCATCCCAGCTGGAGTAGCCCCGCCTGCCCCTATTTAAACAGTTAATTAGTTAAACATAATGTTTAACCAGTTAACTGATGAAACAGGAGTTTACATCCCTATTCCGAACTTTCATGGTATTTGTGAAGCTGCCATCATTAAGTGAGTCAGTGGCAATGAATCCTTTCCTCAGTATCTGGGAAGAAAGCCACTTTCACTTCTGTTTCAAATTCCTTTAGCATATTTTTAGAGCAAGAACGCACACATAAAACTTTCATGTGTTGCATATTCATTGGGGTCTTGTTGCAGTGCTTCCAGTAATGCTGGAGGACGCTCTAAGAGCATTAAAATACATATAAGATTTTTTTAGTGCTGGTCCATATTTCACTCATGAAATGCATGGCCACCTCCTATACTAGAGTGAGAGTAACAGATTTCTAACAAAGCATTTTTCCTGCAAAATATTTGTTGGATTAACTGTCTCCATTTTGGCACTGAGGCTGGTAATAACTGCACAATCTGAGGCAGACTCTGAGTGTTAACAACGTATACAGCAGCAAATAAAGGTGCTGTGTTGGTAACAAAGGGGGAACTAATACAGTATTCCTCATTTCAGAAATTTCATCACTACTGCCCACAATGTAATGTGTCACATTCACTAGTATGTTTCTCACGGTCATAGCCCTAGGCTGGGTGACAGATTCTTAAAATATCAATGTGGTCTGAAAAACAACCATGCTTACTCTTACTCATCTGAAGCAACCAGCTACAAAGCAAAGAAATAATTGCCTTTAAATATCATGTATAAAATCTTCCAAATCAGGGCTCTCCAGTTTCATTTATATATTGTGGCATATGAAATCACAACCATCTGGGTCTATCTCACAATATCTCAGTGGATGGGTTATTGGCCGCTCTCAAAAGCTGAGAGAAACTTGTCCTAGTTGACAGTTAACTTCTTTGGCCAACAACCCTAAAATAATTATTAATGATTTCTGCCAGGCAAGGCTATAACAGACATAAATGGGAGTTGCAAAGTAAACAGAGTCTCTAAGCTATCCCTTTTTTTGCTTTAATTGCCAGGTGCTAAAGCAGAAGTAGCTCCGAAGTCCTCTGTAGAGTCTGAGTAACAATTCTAGAAAGTGTCTGTAAACAGTGTTCATTAAATGTATTTCTTAAGAGGAGCCCACAAGTGTCCTGACTAGGGAATCTCATGTATTCATATTTCCTACTGCATTTATAGCCTCCCTGTCTGGAAACTAGTTGTGATCCACAGATAATATCATTTTATCTTACTAAACTTTTGGTTGTATTAAACATGGAGTAACCAGAACACAGACAACAACTCAGATCTATTCTTTTTATCATCTGCTCAAGTATAATGAGATTAATATCCTCAATTAGCTAAGGAAACAGATTCACATAAACAGCTTAATACTAAAACTGAAACCTGATTACTAATTTAGACAAATTTAGCTAGAGGTTACTAGGTAGGAGAACTCCATGGTGCCTAAGTGGCTTGATCTATCATTCTTGTAAATAGATGTAGATTTTGTTAAGTATTTAATTAAAATCAGTCTCCTGGTCTACTAACCCCAAGCACTGAATCAATATAAAATGTTTTTAATTAAGAGTTAAAATGGAATGGATGCTGGACATGTCCTAACCAATGCCAGGACTGGTTTAAAAAATAGTGTTAATTAAGAAAAAGCAATAAAGGAATATTTTTTTCATCTGAGTTCCCATACCTCTATCAGTTTGTGGGCCTTCATTCCTTATTTATTTAGTCCTTTCAAAAATTGCTTCATATCTTCCTTTTAAAGGGCAGTGCTCTTCAGTAGCAAACACCCAAAGAAATAGCCAATAATTTATTTCCAACATTCACTAATTTTTTCACACTTTGAGGAAAAAACATTGCTATTATTGTTTTACGTTTTAAAAAAATTATCTAAACAGTAACACAAAATTAATAACAAATGACAGACATTACACAGAATTCTATCTGTGGTGGGCAATT